GGGAGAATGAGACTCCAAAATATTCTGGTTTAGATTGTAAAAGTTTGCAGAGGCACATGCTGTACACACAAACGTTTGTGAAAATGAAATTAATCTTTATCTCATGAAGGTTTATATTAAATGTAGAGTATATCTGAATAAGCACCTGTAACAGCATGGATCCTTGAAAGTGAGAAAGCTACTGCTCCTCTCGGTTGTAAATGAGAGCATCACACACAAGTCTCTTTCCTTCATGCCTCATTTCCTTTTGCAGGAGCTTGTGGATATCTGATTTTTAAAGCAGAGAACTTCCTGAAGAAACTAGATAAGTTTAATTCTATTTGTTAATTTTAGGAATACCTTGTTCAAAATGTTTGAGAATATTATGTCTGTTAGGTACCAGATGGCAAATACATCAGATTCAAGGCTGCGTGTATGTATAACTCTAACTCATCTGACTTTGGAACACTATTTATTAAAATACAATACCCTAATAACTACCTTTGCAAATATAAACCCTTTTTGGGGTGTCCAGGTGCTCAAAGACATTTAGGCACTTAAATACTTTCCAAGAGTGAGACTTTCACCTTTCAGAATGTCATTAGATAATACTATTAAATACCATCTTAAAATGTTGCTTTCATGTCTTCATTACACTCTACTTTTTTTTCTTGAAAATCAGATCTTTAGATAAAAAATTGAAAGATAATAAAGTTAATCTATATGTTTAAAAACTTACAGATACATATCAGTGACTTTTGACTGCCCGACCTGAATGCACTGTGAGACTGAGGAAACAAAAAGAAAGCAGGGACTGTTCTGTGTATATGTGTGCCTTGTATTCACCAGCAAAGCTGGAACAGAGGGAAAGGGCAGGCTGATTATTTTTATTCACTCAGTATTTCTCTCAAGGTGTCTCAGGCTCCATCGGCTTTACTGGATGTGCTTCAGGATTCCATGAACAAGAGCTGTTTAGATCGCTTACAGTGTAAGCCTCATTAAACACTCGTGAAGTGCCCATAAATCCCCAAGAGGCTGCTGTGCTGGAATGTAAGGGCTACATCTGGAGCTTGAAAATCAAAGACCCATCCCTCCAGGAGACATTCAATCTTAGAGAAAGTGGCATGAAGCCATAATTCACTGATATAATGCTTATGAACTTTGTAAATATTACAGTGATGATCTAGTGAAGGTTATGTGATGGGTCACTAGGAAGTAGTTTGCATCTGCCCATCTTGTTGGTAACGGGCTGTGTAAATCTCGGCACTGGAAGCTATTTGACCCTGAGAACTGAGACAGTCTACCTGTTTCTGCTTATGGGGTTTAGAAATGATAATCTGTTTTGTCAAAAGCTCTGAAGTGCTTTGCAGTTTATGATCCCCTCCATCTAAGCCAGTAGGCTTATGGCTTTACAGTTGCGCTGAGTGCGTGTAATGCTTATAGATGCAATAAGCGATGAGAGCAGCTTTACTGACTCACAGAGAGCTTGTGGTGTTCTCAGGGATGTTAGATCAATGATATTCATTATATTTAATTATAAACTAAACAACTAACTTAGATGTCACCAGCTGGACTGTGATTTCCATCTAAACCATTGATAAAATTGTAGTAGCTGCTTCCCGGTTTGAACACCAACTGAAGCAGCTTCTTCAGTCTTCCCCTGTATGCGACTCAGTTTCCCTTCAATGACTGTGGTACTTAGATCTAAGACATTGAACTCCAGTGGTTTCCTTCTGGTCTGAAGGGAACAGAAATCCAACAAAACAAAAATCTAAGGACAATTTAACCTTATAAGGCAGGACTTAGAAAGAGCCTTCACCTCAGATAGAATTAGCTCTTTGGTGCCCAGGTTTTCAAGGTGTCTTGTCCTATTCCTTTCGGCCCCTGTGTTTGGTGAGAGGCCCTGTTATTTACCCAGGTACACCCCTTAGGTTTTGGGTTGTTATATTTTCTTGAAGTGTTCTTCAATCTTTTTAATATCCTCCTGGGCCTCTTATTACCCTCTTCTAAACAATTCATAGAA